ATATTGCCTTCATGGCACTGAAGAAGCCCCAGGTGATGTGCTTGTCAGCAAGAAGTTGTAGCCTCATAGTTTTCTCAGTCTACTGTTGATTCTTGATTTCTCTCGTTCTTCTTTGTAACTCCACTTTTGCTATTTGATGAATTCTTCTCTTTGCCTTGTTGGGATATTCTTTTGCCAGGTATGGAGAGCTTTCCTTTTCTTGTCAACGAGGTCTTGGATGGTATGGTCATACTTGTCGAGCCAGTCTTGGTGTTTCCTTGTCTTGTACCTGATACTTTCTTCACGGCCAAGAGACAATGGCTGTGTTCAGCTCTTTCCAGATTTCTTCCACTTCATTTAAATGGTGAGTAAAGTGTCAAAGGTGCAGTGTAAGTCTTCTTTGGATTCCTCTATAACATCAAGAGTTGGGGAATAGGTACTCACAATCATTGCCTGCTGGTTCTAGGCAAGCTGTCGACACAGACTCATGAGGTGATCATTGATGCCAATGGGGTGCTCCAAGGGTCAGTTGATGACTTTGTTCTTGGAGGTGAATTCATTCCATATGTCCTCAGCTTTTCCACTTCAAAAACAGGTGTAACCACCACCTTCTTCCCTCAGCTGCCCTTCACCTGCTCTCCAAGGGCAGCAATAATAATGTTGAAGTGCCTGAGCTCATGGGCAACAGGGGCTGTTCCCCATTCCAGATGATTGTCTTGCTCATTATCCATGAGGATTCATACATTCCAGGTTCTGAGATTGAGTTTGACTTTGGATTTTAGACCACAAATATTTGAGCCCATAGAATGTGGTTTTTCAGCCAGGTTGGTGATGGAACAGACAATTTTTAGGGCACCTTTTTCTAGCCCCTACCCTGTGTGCAGTGAGCTGAGTAGATCTTGAAGAGGGCTGCTCATTGTTAAGAAATCTGCCAAGATGCACACCTGTTCCTATTTCAAGAGAGAAAAAACCGAGTCAAACTCAACCACCTACATGCCAGTCTGAAGCTAGCACTTCCAGAGCTCACAATCCTGTTCCATCACTTCTTGCTGATCACTGTAGGGGTTGTGTTGTGTGTGTTGGGGGTTGAAGTCCTGTAGGTGGATGCCTTGTGTGGGACACCTTTTAACATGGGAATGTTGTTGTACATCGGCAGACACATGGTCCCTGTCAGAAGATTGATTCAGTTCCAGTGGCAAGTAAACCTCAACAACTGGTCAGAGATAGTAGGAACTGCAGATGCTGGAGAATCCGAGACAGCAAGGTGCAGAGCTGGATGAACACAGCATCTATGATGCTGCTTGGCCTGCTGTGTTCATCCAGCTCTGCACCTTGTTGTCTCAACAACTGGTCACCTCGCTACTGATGCAGGCAATATCTGCCATTACAGCTGTTGCTATCATAGGAATATCTTCTACCTGGATCACCACTGATGTTTTGTTTTGGACTGCTCTTAGTCTGGTTCCTTCCCTTCAACCTTATCATTATGGGTGGTCCTGCCAGAAGCTGAGAACTCCTGATGATGTCACTCTTGGGATCAACGGAGCACACACACGTGCCTCTCCACCACAGCAAAGTGGCAATCCGTGGAAAGGTATTCACTTTTTATGTTGCTTTATATATATTATTAATGTTACCACTAACTCGTATATTATTTTAAACATTAAGAATAGGATAGACCCTATGGTTATCAATAATGTACAATTTTGGTTCCCTTGCTTGAGGAGAATGTAGTTGCATTGGAAGCAGTTCAGAGAATGTTCACTAGCTTTTGATTCCAGAGATGAGAGGTTTGTCTTTTGAAGAGAGATTGAGCATTTGAGAGAAGATCGAAGTGCGGTATACAAGATGCTAAAGGGGAGGCGACAAGCTATTAGTCCAGAGACCCAGATAATGATCTGGGGGCCCAGGTTTGAATTCAGCCATGGGAGATGGTGGAATTTAAATTCAATTTTAAAAAATCTGCTTCAGAAATTTAATGATGACAACGAATCTGTTGTTGATTGGCAGGAGAAACCCGTTGGGTTCACTAATGTTCTTTAGGGAAGGAAACTGCCACCCTTTCCTGGTCTGGCCTCCATGTGGTCTCAGACCCACAGCAATGTGGTTGACTTTTAACTGCCCTCTGGGCAATTAGGGATGGGCAATAAATGCTGGTCTAGCAAGTGATAACCCCATCCCATGAAAGAATAAAGAAAAGGGGTTTGGCAAAGTAGATGTAGAGAGGATGTTTCCTCATGTGGAGAAATCTAGAATGACAGGTCCCAGTTTTGGAATGAAGGGAAGCAGATGTAAAACAGATAAGGAGAAATCACTTTTCTCAAAGGGTCCATGAATCTGTGGAATTCACTCCCCCAGAGTGTGGTAGATGCTGGGACATTAAGTGAATTTGAGGAGATCGATGGATTTTTGATTAGTAATGGATTGAAGGGTTATGGAGAGAAAAGTGAACTTGAGGCCAACATGAGAACAGCCATGCTTGTATTTAATGGCAGAGCAGGCTCACGGGGCTTAATTGCCTACTCCCTCTCCTAGTTCTTCTACTCTTAACAAATAACCTTCAGTTCTCCTTGAACTAGCGATGTTGAAACAGTTCAATTTTTCCATTCTCATAATCCATACATGTGAGTTTCAAATACTTGCTATTCATTTTCACATTTCAAGCGAGTTTTCTGCCACACTGAAATTTCTTCTTCCCGATTAATCTTTTAGTCATTCTCTGCCTTTCTTTATCTCAGAATCAATCATTTGACTTGATACTTATGTTTGCATAATTATATGTTTTTTTCTTAAGTTTGATGCTTTCCTTAACATCTTCAGTTAATCACAAATGGTGGGTCCTCTCTTGAAATTTTCATTGATAACATGAATATATTTATTCTGAGTATTTTAAAATGTCCCCTTAAATGTCTACCACTGGATATGTACTTATCTATCCCCTAGCTCAGTACTGAAGCTCACTTCAGCTATATCAGATTTCATGCCCACATAGTTGCACACATTTAAGTTGAAAATATTGGTCTTAGACCCAACCTTCTCCCTTTGAATTAGATTTAAGATTCAATCAAATTGTTGTTGT